AGGCGAGCTAGGTTGCGAGCCATTCCAGTGGCCATTTTTCTGTACTCGCTAGCAGGTTCTCTAGGCGAGTGGTGTAGCAAAGGATTCGCGAGGCGAAGTCCCAGCGAGGTGGTAGCGAACACTTCCAGTAGCTCAGAAGTGTGATTTGCGAGTAGGTTCGCTAGGCGAACGTGTAGCGAGCGTTCGCTAGGAGCTCGAGTAGCAAGCAAGGTAGCGAACGTAGCAGGATTTTGTTTTATTTGAGCCGTGTTCATCTGATGTTGATGATTGTGATCTGTTTGATGTACAGAGATAATGCAAGGATGTTGGGTGTATGTTGAGTGTTATAGGGTTATTTTTCCGATGTCTAATGTGAATAATTCGATTGATTGATTGTGTGATATATATATATATATATATATATATGCGATGTATGATGATTGATCAGTAGGATCATGTGCACCTTGTTTGCTTGATGGTTGTGTGTTGTATGATGATGGATCAGTAGGATCGTGTGCACCTAGTGTGCTTGATGTTGGTGTATGCATAGCATGATGCATGATGGGATCAGTAGGATCGTGTTGCTCCCTTGAGGAGGGTTGATGGCCAAGTGTCCATCGACGATTGTAGAGTTGAACCGTTACTCGGATGGAGTGTATGCGATTCACCCGTAATCGTGGTAGGGATATATCGTTACTCGGATGGAGTGTATGTGATCTATCCTGAGATTTGATTATATGGGCTCAGGAGGAGCGTGATAGGGATATATCGTTGCTCGGATGGAGTGTATGCGATCTATCCTGAGATTTCATTATATGGGCTCAGGAGGAGCGTGGTAGGGATAGATCATTGCTCAGATGGAGTGTATGCGATCTATCCTGAGTTTAAGTCGGTACCGCATGCATGTGTTGAGTTACATTTGTGCATTATTGTATATTGTAATTGATGATTGGACAGTAGGTCGTGTATGATGATTTGTGGGGTGATGATGTATTTATTTACTGCCTTTATTTCATGTAAATATTTACCGTTATATTTAGATCATGTTTTCTCACCCCTTTGCTGTTGTTGTGGTCCGTGCTTCTTCGGAAGTACATATAATCCAGGTGTTTAGCTAGTTAGATAGCGGTGTGCTAATCGAGTCTAGGATGCTCTAATACATAACACGGGGCTTTGGGGAGTTTATTGCATATCTGATGATTTTGATTATACTCCGTGTCGTATCATATTTTGATGATGGATTCTATTGATGATGTTTTGTATATTTTGGGCTGATGACCGAACTTGATGTATGAGATGATGTGTGTGTGTGTGTGTGTGTGTGTGTGTATATATATATATATATATATATATATATATATATATATATATATATATATATATATATATATATATATATATATATACATGTATATATATATATATATATATATATATATATATATATATATATATATATATATATATATATATATACATGTATATATATATATATATATACATGTATATATATATATATATATATATATATATATATATATATATATATATATATATATATATATATATATATATATATATATATATATATATATATATATATATATATATATATATATATATATATATATATATATATATATATATATATATATGTATGTATGTATGTATGACTAAATAATTTTCTTTCCGCTACTTATTTTGAAAATCTTTTGATAAAATGTTTTCGTCGAATTTTTGTGAAAAGTATTATCCCACTTTTGGAAGAGAAACTCTGATATTTCTAATTGAATTGTTCGCATTTTATTTAAATTTGGGGAGTGGGGTGTTACATAACCGATTACCACTATAACAGTGACAAAAAACAACTTTTCTAAAAGCACTTTCAGCAACCAAAACACTTATCCAATCATCCACATGCTATGATTAACATTTGTACACGAAAAATTAAGTTCAAAATCACTTAGGTATCAATTAAACATCAATTGAAAGCATTAAACATGAAGATCAAAGATTAAACAATCACATGATTAATCAACACCGAAAACTATCAAACTACATCGTAAACGCGCTAATGTGATCAAAACAGTAAATTAAGCAAAGGATAACCAACCTACAAGGCTGAGATTTGCCTTGGATGTTGTTGCTATTGATATGTGATGAGAAAGATCAAAGAAAACCAGAGAAATCAGAATTTGCAATCGAGTCGTAGCGAAACCGAGCAAATTGCGACGAAATCTCCAAATACAAAATTACACTGAATAATCTTGAAGTGATCACTTGAGATGAATCAAAAGTCAATGAAACTCCAGAAAATCAAGTAGAATCACAATATGATGATGGCTAAGCTCAAAAGAAAAACACTTCCAATGAAGAAGTTGTTACTCTTTAATGGAGAATTTGAGCTTTAATGAGGTTTTGGGAAGAAGATGAAGATGAATGTGAGAAAAAGTTGCAGAAAATTAAGAGAGAAAGTGAGAGAATTGAGAGTGATCAATGACAAACTTGGGAAAATGATTCAGGATGCTTTGTGAAATGGTGGTAATTTGCTTATATAGAGTTTTGCTTCGGAGTTACTAGGTTCGGAGTGAGCTTTGGATGTAGCCTTGGAACTAGCCTTGGAGTTAGTTAGCCTCAACTCATTGAGTTGGAGGTTAACTCAGTTAGTTAGGTAGTTGACTCAATAACCATCCCAATGCAAACTTGAATCTAAGGGCTCATATGCTTGAGAATGAAGCAACATGGTGGTCTTAATCCAAATTGATGTATTGGAGCAAATGCCTTAAAGTGTTTAGAAAGGTCTTGAATTGTCTAGAGCTGTCTAGAATGTTCCTAACAATGCTAGAACCAAGTAGACCCCCAAAATATAGAGTGAAAGTGGCAGTCACAGAAAATGCAGCAAAAACTGCATTTTTACACAGGGTAATCGATTACCATACTCTGCCTAGCAAAGTGGTAATCGATTACCACAGGAAAAACTTGCCAAATTTGCTTGCACAATGATGTTGTGACCACGGTTCCGATTTTCGACCTTTTGCTTTGATTAATAGGTATAAAAACCCTCATTTTGTGCTTGTTTTGGTGATGTGATATCTTTGAGAAGATGTGATTAATCGGGCTCAAAACCTGAATGTTCCTGCAACAAAGTGCGAATGCGTATGCCAATGATGCGAATGCACGTCAGTATGTGAGGGAGAAGAGTGAATTAAAATTAAATTTGAAACTCAGTACCTGAATTAACGTCTTTTTTATATATATAATAGAGAGGAAATAACTAACTTGCTATTAGGAGTGAATTGCCGAGAGCCGTTGGATTCACTTGAGACTTGATCTCTTGTGCTTGTAAGTAGGATGGTTTTCTTGTGCTGAAAAAATTCTGGAAGAATTACAATACCTTCGGAATGGTCGGCCAAGACTAATGTGGTCAACACGAAACAAAGTAAAAGAACTAGTTTCGTGAATTAGTTTAAATATAAATATCAAATAAATCATTATTAATATTACAATAAAACTATTTTTATCTATACAATATATAAATGAAATACTTTGTTTTGGTGTGACTTATTTTTCTCCATTTTTACCCTTACTTTATTATATAATTTACTTAATAACTTTTTATTATTAACTTTCACGTAACTTCTTATTATTAACTTTCACATATTGTATTTTTTTAAAAATTTATTTAAACAAAAAGTATCATTTATATTTTCATTCATGTGCATTAAAAAAGCGGACAGACGGGCACTCGCGTGCCCGTTTGGACGCTAGTAATTATAAAAAACATTTAAATGAGATGATACAAGTTTTTTCCTCTTAATCTAATATTTCAGGTTTAAATCCAACTCTAACCCCTCAATAATATTAAACTTTTTAAGAGAGGATTTTCCCATCTATTATAATCCTCCGTTCAAAAGATTAATATCTAAAATTTTGGAAAGATGATGCCCAATTTATAAAAGAAAATTATTACTATAATTCAATTAACTTCAAATTATTATTATTTTGGTTTTAAAAAGTGTTTATTTTTCTTTTGTTCATAGACAAAGTGGCAAAAACATTTAAAATTTTCCACATACAAGTGAGATAAAAATACACATTCTAACTCAAATAATCACAAAAAAAAAAAAATTCAATTTTAATATTTTTATCAAGTTGAATTAGGTATTATGAAATGTTTACCACTTTTTAACTTCAGTTAGTTGGCTTATCCAGTTATTCTTTGACAAAAATCAAGAGAAAAAAAATAGTTATCTAATTAATGATTATCATCATCCAATAAAAGGAAAGATTAAAGGGAAAGGAAAAAACAAAACAAAAAAATTTAAAATAAAAAAGGTAAAAATTGACATTTGAGTCAAGGGCAAGAAAGTAATAACAGTGATACTCCCCTCATAACAACCGACATGTGGCGGTACATGCGGCGCACATGCTTTACCGTCCAAACTTAAAAAAAATCAAAAAAGTAATACTACGAATACTAATTTACTGGAGCGGTTTTTAAGATTCAAAAATCAAAATCAAAAAATTAAAAGAGGGAACGAAACGCTTAATTAATTAATTAAAATTAAACAAAATAAACGTAACGGGGACATTAATTAATTAATTAATTAATTTATATATAGCATAGTAGAGTATAGTTGTTGTGATTTGTTTGCTTTGTTTTGAAACAGAAGAAGAGTAGCTTCTACTTGTTCTATTCTTATTCTTCTATTCCACCACTCTTTCTTTACTCTCTCCACACTCCACTCAACTATCTCTTTAAAAAAAACGCACTATCTTCTTCTTTACCGTTGAACTAACTCAAGAGAATCTCCAAGATCGGAAGGTGAGGTCTTTTTCGTCTTTTATCTTCTCAAGATTTTAACGTAACAGCCTCGTACACCTTCTTCCTCTATTTTTTTCTCTCTTCCTGTTGGTGTTTATTAAAAGAAGGTGTGTGAAGAGCAGAGAGAGTAGTGATAATAATGTGTTTTGGTTTGTTTGTTAGGAAATTTCTGTGACGATTGTGTGAGGTTAGAAATATGGAGAGGAACACTCCGGTGAGGAAGCCGCATACTTCGACTGCAGATCTGCTTACTTGGTCGGAGACTCCAATCGCCGATTCGCCAGCTCCGGCTTCTTCGGCTTCTCGTTCTCACCAGGTAGTTGAAACGGTTAAACGGTTATGATTTTTTTGGTTGGTTTTTTTTTTTTTTGGTTGTGTTTGAAATTGGGAATTGATGGGATTGGTTAATTTTAGCCGTCGGATGGGATCAGCAAGGTGGTGTTTGGAGGTCAGGTTACTGATGAAGAGGTGGAGAGCTTGAACAAAAGGTGAGATCTAAATCTTCGCTAATTTAAATTTAAAAATTTGAAAATTTTAGAGTTTTTCTTTTTAAAAAATAAAAATTTGTACAGTCTGTCTTCGTTACACTGTTTCAGACTTTGTTTGTGTCACTGATATATGTACATAATCAATTATTATTATGCGCTGTTTTTTTTTTTTTTTTTGATATATTTTGTCAATGATAATTTGAATTAATTATTATCTCTACTCTCTAGTGTATCTTGCTTCTGTTATCCACGCTTTAATAGGAAGTTCATGCATCTGAAAAAGGTTAAATTGAATTGTTTGAGTTGTTGAATTCCAAATTAGGGATCTTTGGTTTGAATCTTGTTTCAGCTTGGTTCGGTCACTATACATGATAGTGTAGGGAATTACTGACACCTCTCGAAATAACGTGTATATGCCTGTGTCACGACATCATTGTGCTTAATTTTGATTTATTTCTTTTGGAAGTTATTACCGGTGTCTATGTCAATGTTGTGTTCGCGGTGTCCGTGCTTCATATATTACCATTTAAAATATTTGCTTGTTATAAATGGTAATATGAAAATTCAGTTCATGAAGTTTATTAGTATCAATTATAGGTCTTCGGAGATGTGAGGGAATGTTTATGACACTATGTATACTAGTTTTTCTCCATTCCATCAAAATCTTGAAGCTTGTAGAGGATGATATTGAGAGTCCTTCCTTTTTTTTTAATGATATATACTTTTGTGCTTGTTTGGGTTGAGTTTGACAATTATTTTGATGATGTGGATTCAGTTTCATGTATGCATTGCTTCATTTCTTTCTCTAGTATGTGTTTGTAGACTAGTGTGAGATGAATTCAAGTTCAATTTTCATATCATTTAGGTTGAGTTTGACAATTATTTTGATGATGTGGATTCAGTTTCATGTATGCATTGCTTCATTTCTTTCTCTAGTATGTGTTTGTAGACTAGTGTGAGATGAATTCAAGTTCAATTGTCATATCATTTAGGTACTGAACCCTTGATCAAATTTTCGTGGTGTTGTTTTTTTATTGTTTCAGAAAGCCATGTTCGGAGTATAAGATGAAAGAAATTACTGGTAGTGGAATATTTGTAGCCAATGGTGAAGATGATGAAACCGAGGATGGCAGTGCCAACCCTTCTGCAAATAAAACTGGAATTCGCATGTACCAGGTATTGTGTTTTTCTATTCAAAATAATCTATTCTTTTACTCGTTGTATTAGTCACAGTTCTGCAAAGGATTTCTGCTTGCATTTTAATTCTGTTTTTGAAAATTGAAGCAAGCTATTGCGGGAATCAGTCATATTTCTTTTGGCGAGGAAGAGAGTGTTTCGCCAAAAAAGCCCGCCTCGTTGCCTGAGGTTGCCAAGCAACGTGAGCTCAGTGGAACTATGGAAAGTGAAGACAATAAGCTGAACAAACAGCTTTCTGATGCAAAATTCAAGGAGCTTAGCGGTCAGGACATATTTGCTCCACCACCTGAAATCAAACCTCGACCAGTAACTGCTCGCATACTTGAGTTGAAAGGGAGCATAGACATCGGAGATAGCCATGTATGCACCACTATAAGTTGCTAACCTGAATTATTTTGGGTGAATACTTTCATATTTTTTATCTCTCCCTTGCCCTCAACTGAAAATTTGAATCTTTACATTAATCGCACCCGTAGGCAAACATAACACATTGTATTGCATCATGAAATGAATATCGTTCATTGCAAAACGTTGAGTATAAATTGTGTCATGCATAATGCATATAAGTAATGCTTTTATGTGGCTTTGTCAATTTTATTGTATTTGGATTCATATACTCTGTCTTGTGTTATTGTTACCTTTGTTAGGGCGATGGAGATGAAGGCACTACTTCAGGCGAACCGGTTCTGAAGACAGCAAAGAAGATTCTTAACCAGAAATTTGCAGAACTGTCAGGAAACAACATATTTAAGGGCGACGCTCCACCTTTGTCCGCTGAGAAATCATTGAGCGGGGCAAAACTCCGGGAGATAAGTGGCAGCAACATCTTTGCTGATGGGAAGGCAGAGTCTAGAGACTATCTAGGCGGCGTGCGGAAGCCGCCTGGTGGCGAGAGCAGCATTGCCTTGGTATAATTTGTTAGGTCTAACTTATTTCCTATACTGTCTTTGTTTTGATTTTAATTAATTTTTAGTGGGGATGTGTTATTAATATTATTTGACCTTGTATTTCTGGGTTTGGGGAATTTTCCTTTTTGGTTCGTTGATTAAAATCTGGACCAAAGGGTTATTGCTAATTGGTTGTTTGTCCATAATCCTATGTTTTCTTCAATGTTTGTTTAATGAAGTTATTTGGACTGTTTATTCTATTATCTGTTTGTTTTTGGTTTCAAAGAAACTTTTGAATCCAAACAATTTTACCATAATTTTAATCTATAACATATATAAAAAGATCATAATTTTAATCTATAACATATATAAAAGGAAAATTTGGATTTAGAGAAGCCTATTTCTATTTTAATTATTTATTTTTATTTTTATTTTAAAATTCAACTTTTTTTTTACTAACTTTTATTTTATTAACTTTTATATGATAGTTTGCACAATTATTTCATTCAAAAATTTTATATAAAATTTAAATTAAAAAAAATAAACACACAAAAATACGTTTATATTTTTAAACGTCTAAATATTAAATAAACAGACGCCAGTTTGAATGCTAGTAAAGATAAAAGTAAGATAATACTTTTGATAAAAACGGAAAAATAGATAAACAAATAAAGCAAATGAAACACTATCATTTTGGGGGTTTGTTCTCATAGCCCTGCATTTGGCAATGTTACTATGCTAGTATGTAGTTATTTGCTTAGTTTGCAAGTTTGTTTAATCATATAAATGTTTGGGAATTGAGCTTATCACCCTTGAAACTTTTTAAAAAGAGAAAAAGAGATATGAACAACATAATGTAATTACCATGTATTCTTTCTATCAGTCTTTTGTCACACCATGTATTGTGTCAAGTAATATTGATATTTTTAAGTTGTGTGACATCTTTAAAATTAGGATTTTTATTGAATGATAAAGTAAAATCATTTTCAAAATAGATATAACTAATACTTTTATATTATAATAATGTATTGTGTATTTTTTTTGACAAATATATAAATATATTTTTTGAACAATAATATAAATTAATGATAAATAAAAAGGAAAATATATTATATTATGCTAGTACGTTGAGAGTGATATACAGGATTTAGTTTTACAAATTGAAATAATTATAAAAGGTATCACCGATGATTTATTTTTTATTTTCGTTCTCGTTTCTTTTTATACATGTATTTTTTAGGTATTTATTTTAAATTGTTTTTGTATTTTAATTTTATAATCATTTTATATTTTTTTAATTGTTTTAGCTATATAAAAAAGAAATAATTGCAAGATTCATATAATAATATTCTTTAAAATTTATAAAATAATATATTTTTGCATGATCTTTTATAGAGAAGAGGAATGTGTGTTTTTTTTTAAAAAGTGAAGAATTTTGAAGTGTGCCTCCTAGAAATTTAGATGATAGTGGATAATGTGTAATTCTAATTTAATATATTATTAAATAAAGATCTGTGTGATACGTAATTGTAAATTAACTAATTAATTTTTTGGGTTAAATATGTTTTTGATCCTTATAAATATCTCACACTTTATTTTTAATTTCTATAAAAAAAAAGACATATTTTGGTCCTTACAAAAATTTTATCCATGCAGTTTAGTCCTTGCTATTTTCTAAAAATTTAAAAACTATTTAATTGCTCCTAAACTTTTAAAATTTTGAATAATTTTTTTCAAACACGTTCAGATTACTATAAAATATTTCTTTACTAAATTATATAATTTTTTAAAATAAGAAGAACTAAATGTGAATTTTTTAAATTTCATAAAATATTTATAAAAGTAATGAAATTCTCGACTTATAAATCAAATTTTGAGTTCGTTTATTTGAGGAACTTTTTATAAGGTTCTAAATAATTCTACAAAATAATCATTCAAAAATAAACACTAGTTTAACTGTAAATACTAAAACTACGTGCATAATTGTTTTGTAGGGACTAAAACACACTATTTTTTTTTATAGGTACCAAAAACTAAAGTTGGTAATTTTATTGGGACCAAAACACACTATTTTTTTTATAGGAACCAAAAATTAAAGTTGGTAATTTTATAGGGACTAAAAACATATTTCACTCTAACTTTTTTAATTGAATTTTAAATATGTTAAAAATTTATTTTGACAAAATATGAATATTAAATTTATATTATAATAATCTATATTATAAATTATAATTGAGACAAAGATATGAATCTATTATATATTTTATTTGAAAATAAAATACATGCTCATAAATTGAGAGTGACAACCGTAATCTAGTTTTACAAACTTAAATAACTGTAAAGTGATTTTTTTGTTTTATTTTGATATTAGCTAAAAAAAAAGTATTCTTTTCTTAAACATTATTATTATTATTATTATTGTACTCTCTATGATTACTAGTATAAAAGAAAAGAATAAACTATAATTTATTTGGGAAAAATCCTAAATTTTCATATGCGAGAAAAAATATAGTAGTTGTTGGTGCACAAAAAGAAGAAGATGAAGATGGAAGAAGAGAGAGAATTGTATAACAAATTTCTACTACTCTTGCAAAATGGTTACAATAAATGATTACACATTTAGTTTATATACACACACAATAATGTCATGTAGGCAAAAATGCTAACCTACACTATCTAGGTTAAGCTTAACAAAACTAATACTACTGAATATGGATCAATTCTAACACCATCCATTAATTCATATTCAACTAACTAAACTTTACAACACCAATTCCATCCCTCAGGTGGATAAAGTGTTCAGTCTTGATAGTTTTAGTTAGCACATTTGCAAGTTGCTTTTGGGTGCTATAATGCATAACTTCTACCACTACATTATGAACCTGATTTCTCAGAAAGTGATACTTAGTATCAATATGCTTGCTTCTCCCATGCATCACTGAGTTATTGACAATATTGATTGCATATTTGTTATCAATCATCAGCTTCAAAGACCTGTTTACCTTCAATTTATGTAGTAAATTCATAAGTCAAATAGCTTGACATACAGCCACAACACTTGCAATGTATTCAACTTCACATGTTGACAAAGCAACAACTAATTGTTTATTGAAACGCCAAGAAATAGGACTTCCCAAATACTTAAACAAACATCCAAAAATGTTTTTTTTATAAACTTTGTCTCCACACCAATCAGAGTCTGAGTAACACATCAACTCTGAATTAGCCTTTTCACCAGAAGGGAACAATACTCTATAGTTTAAAGTCCTCTTAGTATACCTTAGAATTTTGACAGTAGTTTGGTAATGAGACCACTTCGATTTACTAATCACTAGTAGAAAAATTACTTTTTAGTAAAAGTTGTTAAGTCAGTTAACTTACCACCTGACTTAAGAAGCGATGCGGTGACAATTTCGTAAATATTTCTAACTTAGTTAAGTCGGGTGCATTTAAAACAAATTTAACAAAAATTTAATAAAAAATATACAATTCACTTTAAATTTCTTAAGTCATATGTGCTTACTAACTGACTTAAAAAATCAATTTATTAAGTCAGGTGTCTTCCACCTAACCTAAGAAGTTTTATTTTCTTGAAACAAATTAAATTCTGTGTGCACCACAGGGGAATCGAATTCGGTATCCTTAAACAAACTAGAAACCCTAATCAAACTATCCTCCCTCCAACGCCGTCCCAATGCCTTCTTTCTCAACGATCTCCTCGTCTTCATCTGGAATTTCGCGCCTTCTCCGTTCTTGTTCTCCCTGTTGCTTCGCGCCTTGGTGGTTAACCTACAGCTCAACAAAGATCAAACATGCAAAAGTGATTTGAAGAAAACAAGCTTTTACCCAAGAATAGGAGTCGGCAGCGGCTCGTTAACGGTGGCGGTGGGGCGATGATGAATCCTCGAGGATGATTTGAGCCTCACGACGATGATGAGTCTCCTCCGGTTTGAACTTTTCTGCTTCTCTTGTAACAGCGACTTCTTTCGTGATTTTTTTCCGATTCCTTTTGTGGGTTTTTCTTCGCTGCTTTTGTTGATAGATTCTTGCTCTGAGCTGATTCTATCTAATGTTCTTCTTCTTCTTCTCTTTTTTTAGTGGGAAAGTCTACGCCTTTGAGTCCGGATAATACTTTAATCTTGAGCCCGCTGAGGAAGATTTTGAACTGGCGGTGATGACGCTTCGTCTAAGCTGAGAGACCTATAGTCACCGTTGCTTCCATTTTGTTGCCCGAGTTTCCTCTGTTGCTATGTTATCTCTGAGCTAGGTAGGAAGTTGGTGACAGTCTTCGTTGCTCTTCCGGCTGCTCGAGTTGTATGCCCGATGATGAGCTTTAAAGTTCTGAGGGCTTGAACCTCCTTCATTGTATTCTAGGCTTTCAGTTGATCTTTGCTACTGACCTGTCTTGCTTGATGGTGACTGTTGCACCCCAAAATTTGCCCAACATTTCTTTACCTAGCTTATGTTTTATTTCATTCACATTAGCATTATCATTTGCATTTCATTGACATGTGTGCAGGAGATCAAGAGGTATGAGTACCAATCAAGGGCTACACAAGAGTTTGAAGCTAGCTAAGAAGGTCATTCAAGTGTTCAAGGGTTGACATCCTTGTCAGAAAAGTTAAAAGATCCCCAGAGAGAGTGGTGGAAACCAAGGTTGTGTGCCTCCTAACTTGAGAGTTGTGGGAGCTCCTCAGATGATTCTGAAGCCAGGAATGTGGACTTGAAGCCTTGAGAGAGCTCATGAGATGTCTTGAAAGCCATCATGAGGCCTAGATAGGTCATTGTGCAAGATTAAGAAGACTCAGCCATGATTGGTGCAATTAGGGTTTGATTGGGTCAACCCTAGGTCAACTGATGATTTGGAGAGGGTTGAGACCTAATCCAAGAGCCATGTGATCATGGATTGATGCATTGAGATGCTATAAGGATAATTTCAAGGTCAACTCATCATGATTGAAGAGTTTGAGAAGTTTCAGGCTAGGGTTTCTAAGGCTTGACAGTGTAAAATCCCCTAGTTTGACCCC